TTCTTAAGGCATCTCAACTCCAAATGCCACAACCATTTGTCTCCATGGCTGACTCAGGTTTAAAGGTTCCATTTTGATAAGGATCGACAGAAGCTCAGCAGAGGAAATCGCTCCTAACTCAAGAAGACCAACGATTAAATAAAACAGGAAGACAAAAATCCTTTGAGAAACCAGGTGCCTGTGGCTCTTGTCTGTAATTCTAGCTACTCAGAAGGCTGAGATAGGAGGATTCTGGTTCAAAGCCAGCCAGGACAGGAAAACCTATGAAAAAAGCAGGAAGTGGAGCTGTGGTTTAAGTGATAGAGCACCAGCCTTGAGCAGGAAAAAAAAAAGCTCAGGGACAGTGCCCAGGACTTGAGTTCAAACCCCAGGACACACACACACACACACACACACACACACACACACACACACACACACACACAGCATGGAGATACAGAGCTTCTGTAACTCCCTGCCTTTCTCTCTTTGTGAAAATTCTCTTTGTGAATTCCTGAGAGAATAGCACAGGCTGGCCACCTCCATGGGTGTCCTTTATACCCTGGAACAGTCCTACTTCTGGAAAATTAAATAAAACACACCCAGCAACTTTCCCCTACCCCCAGGGAGTGGCGGGAATGTGTGGGGAGGAGATGGAAGACAGACAGATGGACACAACCAGTGGTAATCAACCTGTGGCTACTCGTTTTCCAGTTCACCTGGCAGAGGTGTTACTCCATCCTAGTTTGTCTCCAAGATCCCATCTCAGGCTCAGCCTTGCTGTTTACATTTCAAAAAGTGCCCCATGGCCTCTGGGGAAGATTGTGGGCAAAATCTTGAGCTATAAATTAGCCACAGGCCAAGGCTTGCAGTGTGTTTGGGAGGGGGAGGAGGGGGAAAGAGAGGAGAGGGAAAGTGGAAAGCTCCAGGCTCCAGAAGGCTTGGTAATGGCATGCCAGCGTTACACCTATGGCCTGGCATATCTTCTCACCTGTACCTGGCACCAGGTCTGTGGAACCAGGGATTCCCTCAGCCTGACCTTGTGGGAAAAGATTTCCACAAAACCAGCTGATGTTTGTGCAGAGTTGCAGGCCAGGTGAGTGAGCCCTTCCCAGAGACTACACTCACTCTGGGCAAAGGTGTGTACAAGTTCCTTTATTGAAACAGCCAACTGAAGAAGAACAAGGTCCCCAAGCAACCAGAGGATTCAAAGTGCACATCTCTTCCAACTGCAAATCGAAGATGGCTGGCTGGCCTTGACCATAGATATTTGGTGTGATTTAAAATGCCTTTAATGAGTTGGGCACAGTGGCTCACACCTGTAATCCCAGCTACTCAGGACACTGAGATCTGAGAATCAAGGTTCAAAGCCAGTCCAGGCAGATAAATCCATCAAAGGGACTTGAAAAAAAAAATCTCCAATTAGTCATAAAAAAAAAAAAAAGCTGGAAGTGAAGCTGTGATTTAAGTAAGTACCAGCCTCAAGCATAAAAGCCAAGGAACAGCACAAGGCCCTGGGTTCAACTTCCAGTACCGACACACAACAAAAAATTGCCTTTAATCTTAGTTATGTAGCAGCTGAATCCTACTGGATTCACTCTTTGGTCTTTTTTTTTTTTGGAAGAAAATTTATGTTAAGACTGTCAGGCTGCACCGTCACATTCACTGTGAGCTCACAAGAGACATTTTTAAAAATCTCAGTAAAATAAGAGGAATGCTTTAAGTCAAGTGACTAAGTCAAGGCACTTTGGTTTGTTTGGTTTTTAAAGCTGAAGGTGCTAAAAATATTCCTGACGCTCTGATACTTCAGAACCCATGTTATATGTCATTCACTTTTTCTGTATAGAAGACCATGTATTCTCCCCCATCTTCCAACCTAGCCTTCTGTTCTCTTCCCACCCCATCACATACTGTACAGGCATGAAAAATACACAGATATGTTTAAGTCACAGACAAGCAATTGTTTAAAAAGAAAAGTGAACAAAAAACTAACACACCACCACAATGATAACACTAACTAAACTTGTTGTCATTTTCTGGGACAGGTAGGTGGGTGGAACTTACTTTCCCCACCATAGGAAGAAATCTTCCTTCGCCCGGGTAAAGAACAGAAAACACCTTCATCAATGTCAAAGCCACATGGTGTCACAGGAAAAAGTGACTATGCCAGGTACATAAGCTGATGCCAGTAATCCCAGCTACTCAGGCTGAGATCGGAGTGAAGATCAAGGTTTGAAGCCAGCCTGGGCAGGAAAGTCTGTGAGACCGTTACTGCCAATGAACCACCAAAAGCCTGGAAGAGGAGCTGTGGCTCAAGTGGTAGAGCACCAACCTTGAGTGAAGAAGCTAAGAAAAAGAAAATAAAGAGAGAGGGGGAGGAGGGGAGGAAGGGAAGCGAGGAAGGTAGGAAGCAAGGAAGGAAAGGAGAGAAAGAAGGGAAGAAAGAGAAAAGAGAAGAAAGGAAAAGAAAGAAAGGGAAGCTGGCAGAGCAGGAGTGACCTGTTATGTTTTGTTAGCATATCTGGACCAGGACATCCATGGCAGGAGCCATGAAATCAGAGGGAGATGGAAAAATTTGGCAATGGAGTCTCACCAGACTCTTCTTGGCAACGAGGCTGGGACAAAAGGCTTAAGCTGGGTCCAGAGATGAAGTTCTGATTTCACCAGGAACCAACATAATTGGTTTTAATATTAGAACCAAATACAACAAAACAAGTTATTCTGCAATCCTTTGAGATGACTCACTGGCAAACTCTGAGTCAATGAGTTGACCCCAAATCACCTGGATGTAAATGCCAAGAATCCACCCCCTCCAACCCCCCAAACATGTGGTCTGATGAAGAATCTCATTTAAAAAAAGAAACAAAAGAAAAAAAATGACTCCAAGACTGGGAATCCCTTTCGCAAACCGAGTTAGGTGTTATCTGTGGCTGTGTTAATTTTTTGCTGGCTTATTTCTACAATAAACATTAAGTCTGAGAGATACAGGAGAACTGAACTATCACATCTTCCACTAGACATCACACCAGTTTGATCCAAAACAAAATTAATATAACCTTGTACATAGTTGAGGAGAGGTCAGGGGAGACTCAGACTGGCGGGCCCCCAAATGTTCTGTCTGATCTATGTGGTGTTCTGGACAATTGACAATTATTCATTTAAAAAATCAATTAATCAAACAATCCTGGTTTCCTTTGTGGAGCTGTGGGCCCAGTCCCCATGGCCCATCTGCCCCCCCCCCCGGTTCTTTCCTTCCTACTCCTGCTTTTGCTCCTGCATGCTGCTGAGTTCATGACCCACACCCCTGCAAACAGCACACTAACATAGCTTTCCTGACCCCAACCTCTCTCACACCCCAAGTGGTGCTGGTGCTCACTTTACCTCCTTCGCCCCTCTTCCTCTCACTTCTGTCTGCAGTCCTCCTTGCAGAAAAGCCTTCCGGTCCCCTCGAATCCTCCTTCCTCTTAGCTCCATTCCATTTTACAAAACACTTCTCCTTCTCCTAGCCCAGTCCAGGAACATTCCAGAAGACTCCAAGCCCAGGCTGTGGGAGTAGCTGAGGGGCATCTAGCCACATAATGGCTGAGTCACCTTCCCACATGCATTTTCTTTGGGCATTGGCTAAAGAACTAATTAAAAAAAAAATGGTAGCTCCTTCCAGTAAGGGACTTTTGCCTATATGAATCCATAGCAGGCCCACAGCAAAACAAAACAAAACAAAACCCCTGCTTTTCAAGTTCATGATGGCCACTCATCATGTATAAATAGATGCTGAACCGGGTACTGGTGGCTCATGCCTGTAAGCCTAGCTACTCAGGAGGCTGAGCTCTGAGGATTGCAGTTCCAAGCCAGCCCAGGCAGGAAAGTAGGTGAGACTCTTATCTCCAATGAACCATCACACAACCAGAAGTGCACTGTGGCTCAAAGTGGTAGAGCACTAGCCTTGAGTGAAAAGCCCAGGGACAGCACCCAGGCCCTGAGTTCAAGCTTCAGGACAGAAAAAAAAAATCTAGGACTGAGTTTATTCTCTATAACTTGGGCTACCACACCTAGTACATGATTGAGACTACTAGACAGCAATCAAAATTGATCAAAATCACTACATTTTGGCTTATCATGTACAGAGAACAATTGTCAGTATGGCATTTAAATAAGACATTCCTAGTTTCAAAATGTCATCAACACAATGCCCATTAATTTAAAAAAAAATAAAAAATTAAAAAAAAAACTTCAGGATGGAGGGGTCATTAAAAATACTAATAGAAAAAAAAACCTACAAGAACTGTGTATTTCCACGTTTATACTTTAAAAAATAGTATTAAATTTTAAAAAGTGAGAACCCAGCTAGAAATACAGTTTTTGGCCTTACTAGCTCCCATTTCTATTGCCTAAATGACTAAATACATGAAAAGTTGGGCTGGGTATAGAAATTACATAAATATATATATCTATGTAGATATATAGATATGATTTACTCTCAGTATTTATCCTTAAAATAAACTTAACTTGAAAAAAAAAAACACTGTGCAGTTTATATGTTTGCAGGAAGCTAGTAGATTGATCCCTTAGCTCAGTGCAGTACCTTTATAGCCTAACATTGGCCTCAAAAGTTTGGAATAACCTCTGGGGTACCAAGGGAAATTGTTCCCCAAACAACTCAGAGACAGCACCCCATTGCAGCCATTTCTCTTGGCCCACTATTGCAAAGCGTATCCAAAGTGTATGCAGCACTGATAAAAAGAAGAAAAAAAAAAGATTCCCTGTAAATTTCTTTTTTATAATGTCCCAAAGCAGCCGAATGAGTCCCTTAAAGGAATTCTTAGCCAGGTGCCAGTGACTCACCCTTGTAATCCTAGCTACACAGAAGGCTGAGATCTGAGGAATGAAGTTCAAGACCAGCCTGGTCAGGAAAGTCCATGAGATTCAGATCTCCAGTAACAAAGCCAAAAGTGGAACTGTGGCTCAAGCAGTAGAGAGCTAATCTTGAACAAAACACAGAGGGACAGCACCCAAGCCCTGAGTTCAAGCCCCAGTGCCAGCGCGCGCACACACACACACACACACACACACAAAGGGTGTGTGTGTGACACAGATCCCTCAAAATAGCTCAGAAATTTAACAGTGGCCCTGTTATTCATGGAACCATTTCCCTCGGAAATGACCCTCCCTCTTTGCTAACCTCCTTCCCCTGATCTGTCAGCTCCTCTTTCCCCATCCATGGGAACACTGGTGGCCAAACACTGACACACACGACCCCTTCCACACACACCACCCCTTCAAGAGACCGAGTCCCCCTCCCTCCCCCCCCGAAAAAAAACTATTTGGCAAGCCACAAGCTGAATCAAGAGCCCTTTGAAGCTGGCCTCCTGGGCCATCTAGAACCTTCCCAACAATTTACCCATCATCACACATGTCACTGGGCTCTCACACTTGTCAGACCCTGGGACAGGCACTTCCTCTCCTTTGTAAAAATCTTTGGGAAAGAATTCCTTGGGAAAGACATTGCTGAGAATAAGTGCTGAAACCCCAAAGGGCCACGGTCTAGCCGCCTCGCTGCCCTGGCTAGACATCTTGATAGACAAAGGCCTACATACCTTCTTTTTCAAGACCTGCTATGTTTTCTCTCTCACAGTGCCGTCTTAACTGCTGCCCTTTAGCCCCACACCTGACTGATACCTGCCTGGCAGAGTTGTACACATCTTCCTACTGAATGCAACCAACACAACCACCACCAAGTACCATCACCAGCCAACATAAAGTGCTATTTGTTCCGGATCTCTTCTTGAAGCCAACCCTTTTTGTCTCTCAGCAAGTGTGGTCACCCCAACCAATGGCACTATTTTAACAAGAGACCCTGATTGGCACATCCCATTCTCGGCTGGGAGAGAACTCAGCCTTCACTGTGCATAAAGATTCGATTCCCTTTTTCTTTAGAAGATCTAAACAAAAAAAAAGCGATTTGGAATTCCGTCCCTCCCAAATAGGTATGTCAGAAATAACACCATCCGTTTCCAAAAAGCCCCGGGACAGAGCAGGGGACCGAGAGGTCTGTGTCTTGAGGCCCGGGGAGCAGGGAGCTGCGGGCTGGCGGCCGGTCTCCGTGCCTCGTCTGGTCCTCTGGGGTCCTCCGTGGTCCTCGCTGGTCATCTCCGCCGGGTGCATCTTTGTACCAGATTTGGGGCAGATCACCATCAGGACCGGAGCAGCGACGGCCTCCTGCGTTCTTCCACGGTTTTCTTGCCCAGGAAACCGTAGTGAGTCCCGCGGGAGTGTCACGTTGTGTGATCTTGGGGTGGGGGCCTCCAATTTTCCCAGTGCCTTCTCTGTGTGTGTGTGTGTGCAGTCGGCTGGCACCCCGACCCAGGAGGAGCCTGTGTGTGTGGTCGATCGGGGGTCCATCTTCAGGGAAGCCCTGGGCGCGCGCACTCTGGCTGGGTTGGGGGGGCACTGGCGAGGTAACGGGGTCCCCCGTAGGCCCGGAGAAGCTGGGGTAACCTCTGCCACGTCGACAGTAGTCTGGCAGCTGCCAGCTCCCGGGCCCGGCCGTCGAAGGGCGCCAGGAGGTCCACCGGAGGGGCCTCGCGCAGGGCCTTGGGCAGGGGGCCCAGGTCGGCGGCCGCGCCGCCGGGGCCCAGCACGCAGTGGAAGAGCGTGTGCCGCTGCAGCAGGCAGTCCCTCAGGAACCGCACCAACTCCTCCAGCCGCTCGCTCAGGTGGGCCTCGTCCCAGCCGGGCGCGGGGACCCCGTCCCCCGTCCACGCCCGGCTCAGCAGCGCCGTCTTGAGCACGTAGGAGGACAGGATGCGACCCCACTGCGCGGCGGCCGGCGGGTCCAGCCCGCGGCCGCCCAGATCGCGCAGGGCCTTGAGCAGCTGCAGGCCCTTGAGGTAGCAGGCACCCGGGGCGGCCCGTTCCTGAAGCCAGCTCAGCAGCTTCTGCTCCTGGCGGGACGTGTTCACGCCCCACAGCAGGCCCGGCGGGAGCCCGGCCGGGGCCGCCAGGGCCGAGGGCGGCGGGGCGGGCGCCACCAGGAAGACCCCATCGCCCACGTGGACGGCGGGGATGAGCCGCACGGCCATGGAGAGGCGGCAGCAGCCGTAGTCGGTGCGGCAGGGCAGGACGTGCAGGGTGGGGGGCTGCTCCAGGCCCCCCGGGGTCAGGCTGACCCGGCAGCGCCCCTCCAGGCTGTAGCGCACGGCCGCCAGGCAGCGCTGCAGGTGCGCCTGAAACCAGC